AGAGAGAAAAAGAGAAAGAGAGAAAGAGAGACAGAGACAGAGAGAGAGAGAGAGAGAGAGAGAGAGAGAGAGAGAGAGAGAGAGAGAGAGGTCTTATTTCCTGGAACGGGGAAAAGTTCATGCTTCTCTCTTCTCTTCAGGGGTGGAAATCCCAGGAAAAGGCCCTCCCCAAGAGCACTGGCCCGCTTTACAGGGGATGGTGGGCCTGATTTGTTTGTTTTAGGGGAGGTGGTTCAAAATTTCTTTGGGTTCTCTCAACCTGCTCCTTCCTCGTGGGACTGGGCTGCTGCTCTCTGCTCTGTCCCTTCAGTTCCTAAGTGTGGCTGTTAGGAAGGATCCTGATTTAACCAGAGGGACGCGGACCTGGACATTGGGTGACTGGCTGGGTCTGCGAGTTGCACTCTTCTTAAAACTATGATTTTTGGCTATGGTTTCCTTGTCTTGTTTATGCATATACTGCTTCCCTCCCACCTGGCTGCGCTACACATTCCAGAGTGGAGCTGGGGTCATCACCATGGAGGGCAGGGCAGTGGTGACACAGGAGAGCCTGGCTTGCCTGTGGGAGTTTCCTCATAATTTTTATACTCATCTTAACCACAAAGTCATGGGTGCCAGTTCCTAGACGCCCTTCCCAGTTACCTTTCCAGAAGTGCCAGGGCCTGGAGAATGTGGAGCATATGGGTGTCTGTTGCTGGAATTTTCAGACTCAAGGCTGCTCTTCCTCTCCCACTCTGAGCTTAAGCTACTTGTAGAAGATATGGAGTATTGAACTCTATTTTGTTTTGTTTTTGTGATGCCAGGATTCAACCTAGGACCTGGTGCATGCTACGTAAGCACTCTAGCACTGAGATATACCCCCAGCCCTGAACTCTATTAATATTTCAACCAGCCAAGCTACTTAAGTTTAATAGTTAACTACTATGCTTAATTACTTATAGAAAAATGATGTGCTCTGTCTGTCAGTTATAGGAAAGAGGAATGTTCTAGGGATGTGCTTAGACAGGCATATCACTTATTTATCTCTCTAAAAGTGATACCATGTTGCTATTCTTTTTTAGCTAGAAATCCTTCTATAGCACCTGAGGACACTCTGCAATGCTACTGACTGTCATTATTAATTTTTCACTCTAGAACCTAAGACACCTGAAGGCCAGGAGCTTTATTTTACTCACTTGTGTCTCTCCCAGGGTACCTATTTTATGTGTGGAATCTATGGAGCACCATTCATCTTGTAGATATAATAGTTTGGTAGAGTTATTACAACAATTTTCCACAGGTGGCAGTAGAGTAACTTTAGAAGCCTCCTTCCCTAATTCAAGACAAAGCCACCATATTGGCTTAGATGGGACTGGCATCCCCAATATTTAGAATACTTAGCACATAGTAAATACACAATAAAAATCTGCTAAGTACATTTCTTTAACATTTTAGTTATAAAAAGTCAGACATACAGAAAATATAGTACAGTGAAATACTATATACAGAAAAAAATATAGTACTATTCATACAGAAAGAATAGTACAAGGAAGAACTATATGTTCCTGTGTAGATTAAGTAAATTTTAGTTAATTTCTGTCATATTTTGTGTTTATTGATTATGATTATGATTAAACACAGGGCCTTGTGCATGCTACGTACACACTATACCACTGAACTAGATTTCTAGCCCTATTTTTGCTAAATCATTTGAAAGTTAGTTGCAATTGTCATACCACTCACCCTCAAACATTTCAGTAGGCCTCTCCAGAGAATTAGGACATTCTCCTATATAACTTCAAAACCATTATCCCATTTACAAATAATTGACCATTATTTTTTAGTATCACCTAGAAAATTGTGGAAGTTGCTATTGGTGTCCTACTGACATCTCCTTGTGCTACATAGAGATTATCCCCTAACAGTTTCCATATATCAAGTAACTTCCTGTATGTCTTTCTCTGGACATTGTTGGCTGGCTTGAGTGAGTGTGCTCTGCCCTCACAGGGCAGGCTAGAAGTGCTAAGGAGCCAAAGTGTCCCTCAAATGGTAAAGGTGAGAAGTTGATTGATAAATACTCAAGCTTGCTTCCCCATAATGAATTGATCATGAGGAGTGTTCACCGAATTTCTCAAAGGTTCCACGGCACAGTTTCCCATAGCAGTAACTTGTTCATTAACATATCCTGTATTAATATTCCTCCCTCCCCTATCTTACTTTCTATGCTTCCTGAGACTGTCTTTAAATAAATTGTTTGCACTCAAAGTTTTGTCTGAGGGTCTTCTTTGGAGGTACCCAGAACCAAGACATCAGTCTAGTGCTAAATTTATTTTAAAATGATAATAGCAAAACAGTCATCCTTTCTTAGGCAGAAATTAAAGGATGACTGATAGGACTGATTTCCTATAGCTCTTGGATCCACAGAGAAGTAAACTCAAAACCTGCTTGGGGGAGATTGTACCCAGCCAATAGGAGTGGCTCTCAGTGATGATCCTTACTTGAACAATGTGATAGTGAGGCTGTGCTTGTTCACTATACCCAACCCAGCCTATCTTAATAATAATAATAAATAATTACTGCTTAATAAGGGCTTGCTGTGCAGCAGTCTTACATACTCCATTTCATTTACTACTCACAGTGACTCTGTAGGGAGGGAACTATTATTATTCCTATTGCATTGATCAAGAACCTGAACTTCAATAGAAGTTAAGCAACCTTTCAAGTCACGTAGCTAGTAAGAGACAGATCTCTGGTGTATTTCACCAATGTGTTAAAATGTACAGGCAACCATAAATATTCTTCTATTTTCACACACAGGGGAACAATAGCACTTGTCAGGTAAAATTTTGCATTGGTAATAACACCATAACACACAGTTTTTTAAATCAATAAAACAAGTTATTACCAATTGCTAATTCTTGGGAGTGTAATGCAAGGATTTCCCAATTAGACGAGAATCTAAAGGATCCCCTAAAATGATCCCCTACCATACCTGGCTTGGCACAGTTTACACACTGGGCTCCCTTTTCCAGCATTATTTAAGTTGTGTGGAGCCTTCGATTATTTTGATTGTTGTGAAAGTCAAATCTCTCCTTAGACTTGTCCTATCACAGTCCCCAAGCTATCAGATTGTCAAAACACATTCATCTCACTTGAATATGACTAAATTAAGCAAGATGTGCTACACACTTTTGCATAATTTCAGGCTTCCATGGAACATTACATCCTTGTTAGTAATATCCAGCCCCACCTAGTAACCTAGGTACACAGGAAAACTCAGATCTTCAGAAGATGTCTTTCCCAATTACTGTCTTCTCTAAGAATCCATAAAGAGAAATAGACTTTGAACCCAATTTATCTTATTTACTTGACCCTACTGTCATAAAGTGTTCAAATTCAAGTATTATAAAGGATAGTAACAAGGACAGAATTCAGGGTCCCAGGCAGAGGAACAGAAGGCCAAGGAAGTCAGCCTTTCAGAGCTCAGCAGGTAAGTGGTGAGTCTCTTGTAGAGAACGTAAAGAGTCAAGTGAGGGAAATTCATTATGAAAGTTGATGTTTTTTGGGAGGAAGGAAAGAGAAGACATCAATTTTCTTGTTTTACAAGGGGATGACTGTGGGGTGAGGTTTGTCAAGAAGCCCATATCCCAGTTTTTGTTGAGTAAACTGTAGTGGAGAATCTTTGAAATGATTATAACAAATTCTGAAATGGTTATAGCAGTGTGATAGAAATATCTTAGGCAAAAAATTTAAATTACGAAAGAATCAATATTAGTACTAATTGCATTTTATGAGAAGACCGATGCAGGCTTGCCAACCGGAGGAGGTGAGCCTGGCAGGACTAAAACTTGCTACTAACTGGACAGGCCTGGGACAGGGGAGGCACAGAGGAGACCTGGAGTAGTTCTAGATATATTCTGGGTCTTGACAGTTAATACCCATGTTAAAGGGATAATACTCCAAGTTGTAAAGTCAATGGAGTAGCCAGGGAGTGGAAAGGATGACTGATATAAAGGGAGAGAATATTAATTTAGGCAAGAGGGTGAGTAAGAGCCTCACCTTGGAAGTCCTGGGGTTTGAATATTCACTCTGACTTTTATCATTTTTAGGATCTTGGGCAAATTGCATCAGCTCTCTAAACCTCTAGAAACTACCTCAACAGGGTGGTTCTAGGGCTTAACTATGATTGAAAGGACATATGTGACAGGCCATTACATAGTATGTGTTTCTACTATATTTATAGAAGTACTCTTTTTTATTTTTTTAGTGCTGGAGAGTAAACCCAGGACCTTGCACATGATTTGCAAGAGCTTTACCCCTAAGCTAAATCTTTGGCTTAGTAGTATTCTTGAAAGGAAGTAAAGAAGACATATTTTTTTTTCCAGATTGAGGTAGAGAATATCTTAAGGAGAGGTATATAGAAGAAAAGGCACAAAAAAGGGAGAAAGAAGGCCTTGATTATTTATTATTTTTAGTCCATACTGAGTCAAAGGAAAGGAATATTAAGAAGTACAAAAATGTTAGCAAGTTTTAAAACTAGAACCTATGTTTCCACTGGGTCCTTCCTGAGTACACACCATTTGAACCTATGGGATTTGATTCTCTATTATCACAGCAACTTTCCAAAAATGACCAGAGAGAGTCTTTCAAAACAAGAATTACTTTGGTTAGTAAAGACTGAGAATAAAGTCAGTTTCATTTCTTTTCCCATTAAAATGACATTCTATTCTATCTTCCCTAGTTTTTCTAGGGAAAACTGATTTTATCTTACCCAGATTGTCCTGTATCTTATAGCCTACTGTATTTCCTTGTGTTTTTCTTTTTGTTACCTTAAAAGAGTTCTTAATACTACAAGTACTTTGAACTTATTCAGATCAGAGTTGTTTAATTAAAAACTAGAAGTAGTACCGTTATAGCTGGGATGACTCATCTGGGACTTTATTTTAAATACCAAATAGACAGGGAAAAGTTCATAAACTCATTGTAGTACAAAGTGCAAAACCAACTGCACTGTTTCCCCCCAGCAGGTTTAACTTCAATTCATTAAAAATGGCATGGGAGAGCAGAAGTCTATTGCAAATGTGCAGATTTCTTCTTGTGGTGATTTTATTTTTGCCATCCAAGACAACAAGTAAGTTAATACTCTCTTTGGCCTCTTTGTAGATAAAGAAACATTTTGCATTTTAAAAAATGATCAAGGGCTGGGGATGTAGCTTAGTGGTAGATCACTTACCTAGTATGTGCAAGGCTAGGTTCAATCCCCAGCACTGAAAAAAAAAAAAAAAAGAAAGGAAGGAAGAGTAATCCCAGCACTCAGAAGGCTGAGTCAGGAGGATCGTTATGAGTTCGAGACCAGCCCAGGCTATAAAGTGAGCTCAAGACCAGCCTGCACTGCACGGCAAGACCCTATCTCAAAAAGAAAAAAAAAAACAAAACCCCCAAAAAAAAAAAAAAAAAGAAGGAAGGAAGAATGGAAGAAAAATCAAGACTGTAATCTTAAATACTTGGGAGGCCGAGACAGGAGGATCATGAGTTCAAAGCTCACCTGCATAGCTTCTTTTTTTTTTTTTTTTTTTTTTTTTTTGGTTTTTCTCCGGTACCGGGAACCGAACTCACGACCTTGCGCTTGCCAGGCAGGCGCTTTTGCCGCTGAGCTAAATCCCCAGCCCCCACACCTGCATAGCTTCTAATGTGGCCTCAAAAAAAGAAAGAAAGAAAAGGAAAAAGAAATTCCAATTTGGAATGGCTGCACAGTTGGTATGGCTCAGAGTATCGGAGTTACTAATACAATAAAAAATTAAATGGAAAATTGTTTTCATGATTCTGATAATACAAGAAGGGTTAAGCATACTATTCTTTCACGAGCAACAGCCAGCATTCTCATACAGTTTAATGCATTTCAATACTAATCTTACCCAAAATAATCTGCTTACTTGAACATACCACACTCACATGAAAATCTTTCCTGCATGTCTCTGCTCCTACCTGAAAGTAGTTTTTCCCCCTCCTGGATTTTAAAAGCAGTACATAGTCATGTTAAAATAAATTAGGCAAGAGGCTAAGGATCAGTACTACAGCATGTACTTAGCACATGCAGAGCCCTGGGTTCAATCTCTAGCACTATGGAAAGAAAAGTTCTATAAAAGAATAAGGAAGGGAAGAAGGCTGGGGTTGTAGCTCCCCAAGGTAGAACAGGTGGCTACCATGTATGAGGCTCGGGCCTAGATCCTCAAGATCACAAAAAACAAAACAAGCAAACAAACAAAAACTATCACAAAATAAAAACTCTTCCAAATCCTGTCATCCATAGGTAACCACTCAATGTTTTGGCATATACTATCCCAAATTTTTAGAAACTAGTAGGCAGTAATCCCACCACCTTTATCAGCAGATTTTTTAAAAGCAAGTTTAAACCTGGGGTTTTGCCAGGGATATAGCTCAGTGGCACAAGCACCTACCTGGCAAGTGCAAGGTCCTGAGTTTGATTCCTGGTATCAAAAAAACCCAAAAAACAAAGTTAAACCTGGGGTTTTAGCTCAATGGTTAGTGTACTTGTCTAGCACATTTTCTAAAATTCAGAGCCCCAAAGCAAACAAACACCTGAGGTATATCTTGATCATCCACTCCATGAATATTTGTCTATTCCACAAACCATAACTATTTAAACATCTTTTGATTTTACTATACTTCTGAAACTATTAAAACACCAGAAATGCAAGATCAAATTAGGCCATAATCAATCATCTAGTCAGAAAAGTGTTTTCAAATCAGTTTTGCCCCATTTGCATTTTGCTTTGATACACATAGTAATTATGAGATGTAATTTATATTCTGCCTTTTCATCTAATGTTATGTCTTAAATAATTTTCAACTTCGCTATAATTCTTTTTTTTAAATTTTCCTATCCCTACTGCTTTGCCTTCCTACTTTTAACCCCTTAACATAAGCAAATGAAGTCTGATATTTCTCCACTTTTGTCTCTATTTTTTACCAATCCCAGCTAATATATAAAGAACTTTTCTGCAATCATTCTGGAACTGTTCTGTACATTTTTGTTTTTAATCCAGTGGTTCTCAAAGTTTACTGTGCATTAGAACCACCAGAGAGGCTTTTAAAAAGCCTAAGGCTTCTGGGCATGGTGGCACACCCTTGTAATTCCAGCACTTGGGAGGCTGAAGCAGGAAGATCGCCGCAAGTTCAAAGCAGCTTGAGCTATACAGTGAGTTTAAGGTTGGTCTGGACTACATGGCAAGACCCTGTCTCAAAAACCAAACCAAAACAAAAATGCCCAAGTCTGAGGTTACATTCATATCAGTCAATCAGATACCTGGGGGTGAGATCCTGGTATCAGGACTTTAAAAAAATCTCCAGGTATTTCCAATGTGCAGCAAAATTTAGTAACTACTAATTGCATCCTTTTCCATTTTTAGTTGAAAATACATTATGGATCTATTTCCTTGTAAAATCATACTGCTCTATAGGACTATTTTTGCACTGATGAAACATAATTAATTTAACTAACTCCCTATTAATAGATATCTAGCTCATTCAACTCTGTATATCTTAATAGTTTCTCTCTATATTTCCAGGTTCTGTTTTAACTGTGAATGGTAAAACTGAGAACTATATCCTGGACACTCAACCTGGTGTTGATGAATCTCTAGAATGTGCCGTTCATAACCATACCACAGATGAAGAACTCCTGTGGTACCGAGAAGAGGGAAGAGTGGGTTTGAAATCTGGAAACAAAATCAACTCCAGCTCTGTCTGTGTCTCTTCCATTAGTGAAAATGACAACGGAGTCAGCTTTACCTGCAAGCTGCAGAGCGATCAGACAGTGTCCATCTCAGTGGTGCTGAACGTCACTTGTGAGTGAAGGGAATAGAAGCGGTCGGTCAGTCTGTAATGTCTGCGCTATATTAAGTGGCAGTTGCAGTCTAGGCATTGGTTTGCCCTGCTTACACTCCCACAGTAAAGCATCTACCCCAGACCCCATACCCTTTCCAGCACTGAGTATCTGCTACCTGCATTTGAAATTTTATTTTCATCTTTAAAATTAAGAATTAAGGCATTCACCTTCTCATAAATGTATTGGCTATTCATATTTATTTCCTGTGAAATAACTTAATCATGGCCTTACCGTTTCTCTATTGGGATATTGGCTGTTTTCTCATTAATTTGTATAAAGGATTTATAAGTTGAGGAAATTAGCTCTTTGGCATTTTGAATTGCAAGTATCTCTTCTATTTATTTTTATAGTACTGGGGATGGAGACCAAGGAGGACTGAGCTCAGTTCTTTTTATTATTTTGAGAAGAGGGTCTGACTAAGCTGCCCAGGCTGGCCTTAAACTGGTGATCTTCCTGCCTCAGCCTTCCATGAGGCTGGGGTTAGTCGTGAGCCATCATGCCTGGATCTCCTGTTTGTTTTGTTTTTATTTGTTTTGTTTTGTTTTGTTTTTTGCGGGGGTTGTTTTTGAGACAGAGTCAAACTATGTAGTTCAGACTGACCTTGAACTCACTATGTAGTCCAAGCTGGCCTCGAACTCACAGTGATCCTCCTACCTCAGCCTCCTGAGAGCTGGGGTTACAGGTGTGCACCATCATGCCTAGCTCCTATTTGTTTTTGAAAAAAAATTTCTTTTTCAGTGTTAGGGATTGATCTCAGGCTCTGAAGCATACTAGACAAGTACTCTACCACTGAGCTACATCTTACTGCTGGACACTTTTATAGTTTTTTTGTGGGGGGAATGCCATCCGTATTGAATACTTTAATGTTCACATATTTAATATTATCAATCTTCCCTTTGCTGTTCCTAGCTTTTGTATTCTGTTTAGGAAGACCTGCATTGGGAATAATTTAATATCACTCTAAAACCTAAAAAGGTGAAGCTCTTCAAATATTCAGTTACAGGTCTCCCACTGATGGAATTATATACATAAATTAAAGATTGTGAAATGATACTACAGGTGTGATCATGTGGATTGTCGGGGTAGAAAGCTGGTTCTGTATGAGGGAGGTGTGGATGGGGGAGGCAGAAGGTGGAATAAGGTGAAGGGTGATATGATTTAGTAGGAAGGGCTCTGGACTTGGAACATGGTAATAAAATCAAAGCCACTTGAGTCAGTGAGCTCAGCCAACTTTTCAATGAAAAACTGATGAGATACATATGTGGAGCAAATACTGAGTGACTGAGCTCTGGAAAATCCTCACATCCTGCCTTTTGAAATTTCGAAGTGAATAATTCACATGTTCCCAAGCAAATGAGCTTTGTTTTCCATTTTAAATGAGCTGATAAAATGTGATTTTTAACATGGTATCTCTTGGGTATTTTGATAGAATCCAAGACTATCAGAGGACCTTGGCTGTTCTGTAATCCAGCCAAGTGAGGAAGTTGAGGCTCAGATTGGGAGCCCAAATCATAGCTAGAACCGAGACTAGAACAGCCCCCCACACCCCAGTCTCTTAATGTAGTATTCCTCCCATGGTATCTTCTTAAGAGAGACATGGCGTAAATACCAAGAATATGAGTTGGTGACCTAATGAATTTTTTTTCAGTTTTCCAGCCTCAAATCATTTTTAAAATCATCTTTATAATAGCCCTCTAAATATAATTGTTAAATGTGTATGTCTGATATATATATATACATCCAATTAGTCAGTGATTCATTGAGACAGTAACCGACACAAACTCATCAACTAATAAATCAAAATGAGCCTATAAAAGTGACAGGAATGTCATGTACAATCCAAAGGAATTATTATGAGTGTTATAAAGAGCAGATCTAGAACTAAGAAGAGGGCTGGGGTGCAGCTCAATGGTGCTTAATATGTGCAAGAGCCTGGGCTAAATCTGTAATGTATGTGCACAAACACACAGGTACACCCACAAAACAACTAATGGGACCCTGGTAATGTGCAAGATGGAGGAGGGTGGGAAGAAACAGATTCTTTTATACACTCTTGTTCAATATCTAAAGTGAAACCACCTGTTTTGCAATATTTATCAAAATTTAAATGAGCCTTTTGCATGATCCAGGATTTCTCCTTCTAACCTTGGAGAAATGCATGCACAGGCATATATAGGCATGTGTAAAAATATTTATTGTAGTATTGTTTAACACATTTGAAATTAAAATAATCATAAGGTAAGTGAAATAAATCAGACTCACATATGTAAGTATTGTATTGTCTCCCTGGTGTGAGAAACTGAAAGAGTAAATAAGATCCAAAATGTGCAACAGATATTGTGAAATGGGAAGAAACTGTTCAAAAGGATAAAGGAACTAGGATTGGGGGAAGGGAAAAGGAAGGAAGGGAAAATTTTAAAAAATACAAGATAGTTATCCTACTAGTTTCTCTTAGTTCATCGAAAAGAAAGGTTTGTGTAATACCATTTGGAGAATTTTTTTAAAGCCCATATCTTGTACTCTAACTACTTTAAAGATAACAATATTCAATGTACCAATTATTGTCATTTTCCTATTATTTTGTTATGAAATTTTGGTTTTTTTCCATAAAATAAAAAAACCAAAAACAACAAAAAACCTTAAACATTATTTTTTTTAAAAAACATATGCATTAAATCCCAGCACTTGGGATTATTTTTTAAAAAGTAAAATAATATGCCCACCAAACTAAAATAAGGTATCCTACATTATACTACAGTACTTCAAGCCAGTGAGCTAGATCTTTATGGTTCAATATGACTATATTTCAGAAATGTGCAAGTTATGAAGTCTCTTATGTAAAACCTTCCTGTGCTCCTAAAACAATACAATATTTTTGTGGATATACTCTCTGCATATAAAATTGTTTTTAGAAGATCTGCAAGGATTTACCCCAAACTTATAGCAGCAGGTATCTCTGGGGAATTAGGATGAGATCAGGCTAGAGTCAAAGAGGACCTGAAATGTATAGAGTTTTTAAAAAAGGGAACATTCCCATGTATCTGACATGCTTAAACATTGTTTTAAATAGCTAACATGAATAGCTAATAAGATCTGCCCACAAATGGAACTGTTCTATTTGGCATGTTCTCCACCCGAGTAGCTTTCTATATATCTGAATACCATATAACATCCTTGTTGGATATGGATACAGAATTCAAGCTCATTCCAAAGAGCAACAAAATGTCATTCTTCTGAGAAAGTTATTAATAGTGCAGCCTACTCAGGGTCTAATTATTCAGTGTGCAGATTATACAAGTTCCTTTTTTCTCCCTCACATCCACCTCCTTCCTACTGCCCACTCACTCTTCAACCACTTTATTGATCTTCTGCATCTTTACCTAAAAATGCAAGGGACATAGACAAGAAGGGGCAGTTAGCTCAGCCATTTCTCCCCCTAGACACTGGAAAGTCTTGCTGGAGAGTAAGAGCTGGAATTATTTGGCAAAGGTGAATGTGTCTGACTATCTATGGATTTACAACTCTTTTTATCCTGGAGAGAATAGGGAGTTGTTTACAGGGATGAGAGGGACTCACTGTCCTTCTGTAGGTGCTAGAATTGCCATAATTGGAATACTTCCTGGGAACAGGCCTTTATTTCCAGAAGATCATGGAAGAAATGCAAATGTGCATTATCAAATATGTGGCTATGGCAAACGTGGTTTAGATAAGATGCAAAAATAGGATGTATGAGTAGCCTTCAAAAGCACCACCACCTCAATGATAATAGTAGCTAGTACTATACTAAATTCTTCACAGGGATTACTCCATTTGATCATCACAGCAGTTCCTGAAGTCAGTATTATTCCCTCCCCGCCTCTCTCTCGCTTTTTGTCTTTTTGACACAGGGTCTTGCTATGCAGTTCTGGCTGAACTTGAGCTCACTTTGTAGCCCAGGCTGGTCTTGAACTTGTAATGATCTTCCTGCCTCAGCCTCCCAAGTGCTGGGAATACAGAAATGTGTCACCATGTCTGGCTTATTATCTCAGTTTTTGAAGCTGGGGAATCTGAGAGCTTAACAGTTATTTGGCTGTCTAAAGGTCACACTAAGTGGTGCAGATGGAATTAAAGCTGACTGCAGTGCCTATTTTCTTCGTATTGACTATTTTATTCAACCCTACATAGATTGGTTTATTATGCTAACTCTTTGAAATCAAAGAAACAAATCTTATACTCTTGGGTAGTTTTACATTGTCTATTTGGCCAGGTGTGATGGCACACGCCTGTAATCCCAGCACTTGGGAGGCTGAAGCAGGAGGATTATTGCGAGTTTGAGGCCAGCCTGGGCTACAAAGTGAGTTCAAGACCAGCCTGAACTGCATAGTGAAATTCTGTCTCAAAAAGCCCAAAACAAAATTGTCTCTTTGTTACAGATTCATTATCATATATATTATGTTCATAATCACGTACTGTTTTATGGTTTATCATCTCCATGTTAAGTTTTCTATGAGGTTTGGAACTGGAGTTTGTTATTTACCATTTTATCCCTAGTTCCTAGCCCAGTACTTGGCACACAGTACGTACCCAGTACATTTTTGTCAAATGAGTGAATAACTACATGAGACAGACTGAAGGAAGACCTTGACAGGGAATGACTCTTTCTCTGTTAACTAAACCTAAATGCTTGAGTCTTGCAGATCCACCTTTCCTGAGTGGAAACAACTTCCAAACAGCTGAAGAAGACAGTGATGTGAAGTTGGTTTGCAATGTGAAATCTAACCCTCAAGCTCAAATGATATGGCACAAAAACAATAGCGTCCTGATATTAGAGAAAGATCGCCACACAATCCAACAGACAAGTGAATCTTTTCAGCTGTCAATCACCAAAGTCAAGAAATCTGACCATGGAACCTACAGCTGCATTGCAAGCTCCCCTCTGAAAATGGAGACCATGGACTTCCAACTGGTTGTTAGCGGTAACTCTCTTTTAAAATAATACCCAGCACAAGGTAAAATTCAGACTACAAGCTCAGTAAATATTTTTGGTGACCATAAATTATAACTACAATTATGATTAGTAGCTGTGATTTTCTTTGGCCCACTATCCTTATTTAGAGAGCTTCCTACTAAAAATTATAGTCTATCCCTATAGAGGAATTATTCTACATAGAACATTAGAATACTGTCCTCTGAGCAAAAGTCCTTTCTAGAACCTGGTCTAGAAGGCAGTACTGGTTGGTATTTAGGGAGGAATATTCCCACAAATTCTCTTGGGCAACAAACTGTATAGGAAGTGAACTTTTAAGCTCACAGCCTGATGAGTAAACAGAAGAGATTTCAGAAACACACTGACTAGATTTTAAAACCAGATCTCTAAAATCACTCCTCTTGTATTCGAACCTGTAGGTTAAGTAGAAGAGAAGGTAGGGAAAATGATGGGGAATAAAAACCCCCACAAAACTCTTTCTCCTGGCTTTAGGTGTCATCTCCCTAGCTTTAGCAATAGAAATAGACATAGAAAACAAATGGAGTTCTGTGTGTTTTCCCTTATCATGTTTCTTTGCGCAGACAAAAAGAAAAAGCTACCTGGTATAGCAGGTGCAGAAAGTGCTTGTGCACACATTTTCTGGTCTTGAGCCAGTATGTAAGGAGCAGCCAAACGAGCTGAGGCTCCTGCATCTTGTCAGAACATTATTCACTTCGTCATTTGCCTCCCTGTACCCACTCCTTGCCATTCTTGCCAGTCCTCAGGAAACCCGTTGAAACCCTGCCAGAAATGATGAGCTGATATGCCTGTGGGATGTCTTACTTCCTCTCCTGGCCCACCCAGAGGGATCCGGGACATGAGCAGAGTGCCTGGTGTAGAGGAAGAGTTGCTGTGGGGTGATTTTCCGTCCCTAGGACTAGTGTCTTGTTCAGTGCTTTGTTCTGCAGAGCACCAATAGTACGCATAGGGACTACTTCCTTTAAAAACCAAACCACCAATAACCTAAGAATCCATGGGACAAAAGCAGTGCAAGGGACATCACCTAGAAGCTTGTGGCTTTTTACTCTCCCCAGATCCATAAATGCATGGTCGGACAGCATCACACCATGCTATCCTAACTGGCTGTAAGACCACACTTGGAAACTAGGGAATTACATCATTCCTCTTGTTAAGAAGAAATTATAATTGCTTTATGCCTTTCAGGTGGGCAGAAACTTATTTTGGGTGGAGCTCTTCCAAGCCAACTTGTTTTTCTTACTTCTTGCTTTGTTATTTCCCTTGCTGTTGGCTGCCTTCATAACATAAGCACTCTACTTTCTGGTGCTTAGGCTCACAGCCAAGTTTTCCACAAGGCTCTCTCTCCCAGCTTCACTGCTCAGCGGGGAAGTTTCTAAATGAGGCCCTGCAAAGCTGGAAATGACATCATGGAGCTTTTCTTGAGCACAAGCTTTAGCCCATGGGTTGGAATTATTTTGTCGTAATGGATAAGGGGGAGGAGACACCACGTCTGGTTACAATTGAGAGTGTAAACACAGAAAAGAGGAGAGAAGTGCGGTTAGTTACATTTTCCAACAGAAACTTGGAATCCAAGTGATCCAGTGGGTCATTTTATCTCAGCTTGTTTATGAAATAAAAGCTGTCACGTGTGTCTTCATTTTATTTGGCCAGGTAAAAGTATTCCAGCTTGTGACTGAATTCTGATTTCTTTTCCTATTCATCCCAGCTGTGCTTCCCCTTGTTTTGATGTCTTTCCATGGCATGCAAGTGGAGGGGTCCCTGATAAGGTCCTTGGTGTACCCCAGAGCTGGCTATGATAGAGCCAGAGCTTCTAGCAAGCTCATTGAGCAAAGTCTCTCCAGAGGGCTGATATAACCCACACTTTCCTGAGAATAGTTTTTAGGAATAGCCAAGAGAGGATAAAAATGAAAATGAAAGCTATTTTTCAGTACAGTGGTAGAGCTGGTTCTTAGCATGTATGAGACCTTGGGTTTAATTCCCAGCCCCAAAAGAAAAAAAAAGAGGAAGAGGAAAAGGAAGAGGAGGTGAGGGGAAAGGAAGAGAGAAGCAGAGAGGAAGGAGAAAGTAGGGAAGGGAAGGGAGAAAGAGAAAAAAAGAGGAAAATAATAAAAAGCAAAATATAAAGGATGCTTCATCCATTAATCCCAAAAATTAATTGTGAGGAATTGACAGCTAATGGGAAGAAAGTAATAAAAACATAACTGGTTAGTGTGTCACACAGTTATAGGGGGATGAGTACATCATAATCTTGAGGCATGTAGGCCCTTGGCTTTGAAATGAGATTTATCTAAAGTCCCCTTCTTCCCTTCTTCCATGTTGCACTCTTCATAGGCCATCTCATGACCCTTTCTTCTTTATAGCACTTATCTCAATCTGTAGTTTTTGCTGATTTAGTGTCCATCTCTCCCACCAGAATAGCAGGGCAGAAGCCTTCTGTGTCTGTCCTATTCTTTGGTAGGGTCAAGCATAGCACCTTATACACATTAGTCACTCAGTACCTCCACAAACTCCACTTCGATACACAAGCTCAGTTGTACAATTAGTAGCACATTCTAACTCCCTTAAATTCCTAAAATTTTGTCTAAGCCACAATTGGAGCCCATTTCATTCCTCTGGTGGCATTAGACTCCTGGGTCAGACAAGTTCATTGAAAAACTTTTGTGGGCCCTTGGCAAATTTACTTTTGAGAATTTCATCCCATATCCTATGAAACATGTTAAAATAAAGCACATTACATGTGGATTTTTGCAGTAAACATTTTGAAAGGCATGTTAGAATTTATATAAGTTTTGAATTTTACTATAAATAAGTTGAGGTTGTAATATTATTATTTGGCAAGGGTTATAGTCAATGTACAGTTACATTTTATTGATTTTTTATTTTAAAGAGAAAAGAAAACAAAATAATAACAACCAAGACAAAAACAAAGCCGACACAAAAACAATAAAAATGATACAGAATTTCAAAACAAGGCGATAGGAGGTTAACCATGGGTGTTATATTACATATTGTTATCTTCAATGAAGTTGCTCAGATTATTACTAGATGTAAGAATGCAAGATTGATCAAGCAATTAAACAAAATAAAAACCAATTAGAAAAACATTAGAAATGATTCAGAGTTTCACTAATCAAGGTAGTAGGGATTCAACAATAGTTCTTATATAGCATATTGTCATCAAATTAGTTGTTCACATTTACAGCATATAATCATGCAAAATTGGTCAGAAAAAGAAAAATTTAAGCAGTAACTATTCCTTTCAGTAAATCAATAGATATCAGCAGTACAGTGTGCATTCACTTTAATTAATTTTGTTACTTTCTTTTTGTATTTTGGAGCCAATAATTTTTTCCAGGCTCTGAGTTTACCTGGTAGTCAGAAAATAAGGAAGTAGGCTTCATTTCCAAGCTGTCTTCCTGGTCCACAATGGATATGGACACCCTGAGACTGGCACAGTGGTGCACACCTATAGTCCTAATACTGTGAGAGGCTGAGGCAGGAGGATAACAAGTTCAAGTCCAGTCTGAGAAACTTAGCAACTTAGTGAGACTATCTCAAAATAAAAAATGGAAGAGCTGTAGATGTAGCTCAGTGTGAAGGCCCTGAGTTTAATTTTTAGTATTGAAAAAAAAATAGATACTTCCACGATCATTTAAAATATATGGGAAATCTTTGCCAACGTTGGGGAGGCTAATGCTGGAAGTCCTATTTCCCTTAGGGGGACCATGCAGTCACCTTCTAAAACGTCTTGCCACTGGGCTGGAACACTGCCTCAGTAAGGTACAATCGCTGGTTGTGCCTACTGTTCCGAGAACTCATAGATCTCTCCTTCTTACTCCAGAGAGCTCTCCATCTTTTCTCTTTTTGCTCTGAAAGCTGTTCCCCTTCTCTTTCTCCCTTTAGGATACCTCTTCATATCTTGTGGGGCTTTCAAAAACCAGGAAATACCATTGACTTCAGCCTGCTTCTGTTTTCTGTGTAGCAAATATGGTGGATAAAGAAAGCACAAAAGTGTCTACTTTCTTTGAGGGGGTTATTCATAATGCAATAAACTGTTCCTTCACAAAGGAATGAATTCAAAGCCTGCCTCTGTACTGTGTCTGAGACTTTGGACAAGTAACTTAACCTCGCAAAGCCCCTAATTCCTCACCTGTAAGCTGAGGACAATGCCATCCGCCCTTTGAGATCGTTGGTAGGGTTTAGTGAAGTGCAAGGCATCTCATCTAAGACATATTAGAAGTACATAACTCAGAAGCTTCTAAATGTTCATTCCCCGCCCACCTGTTTTTGCAGATAAAAGAACGCCTGTACCAACAGAAGCTATTATTGCTGCATGTGTCGTAGTCTTTCTAACATTGTGCTTTGGAGTGTTTGCGCGAAGGGAAAGAATAATAAAGGTATCTTAAGTGTTCTGGGAATTTGTGGTACAAAGTCATCTAAAGGGATGGGAATACAGCTCAGTGATAGGGTGCATGCTTCACATGCAAAAGCCATGAGTTTTAAGTACTGCAAATAAAATAAAATAAAGTTGCTCATGAGAATAAAAGTTATATACATATTATAAGTATAGCTTTTCAAAGAATAGAAGTAAATACAAGCAAGGCCTGAATAAAAATAGCTCTTGTGTTAGGGGTAGGGAATTGGGAGTTGATTTTTCTTCCTTTAAAATTTCTCTTTATGTTGCTATGTTGTCTGTGATTCAATAAGTAAACAGGAAGAGCATGTCTCTGAACATGTCTGCATGCACACCTCTTGAGTACAGCCACATGCCCTGGCTGGAGTGGGCTGCAGTTTGAGTTGTTGAGTGGTTAAGCTCACTGTGAAAGGTGACTCAGTATAGGTGCATGTGTAGATTAATGCCACATGTTTGACTCTGCCAATGAATTCAGCGCTAAAGAAGGGCAAATATGGCAGAAACGCCTCTAAAGAAAAGTCACTATGCTGAGTTCATCATTCAGCAAAGGTCATCTTCCTGGCAGTACACAACTAGGTATTATTCAGGGCAACAATGTTTCACAAGAAGTTCAACCTATCCTCTGTTACATTCCAAAGCAAATTTTGCTATTGAAAAAAGAAATATGCAGCTCTCTAAGCTTAAGTTGTGCTGATTAAGAGTTACATCTCCAAGTTCAATACTATTATCATGTGGCCAGAGAAATGAGACCTGAGCCAGTGCAGAGGTAGTTGTATTTCCAAAGCACCTATCCCTAAGCTACTTTGATACATTCCCAATGTTTACCTGTGGCCTTAGAAAATCAGGCAAATTCATTGCTCTTGTTGTGCTTACTTTTAGCTCTGCATAAAGAAGAGAGACCCTGATAGGGATACAGCCCTGTAAGTATTTCTTCAGAGATGGGACATGCAGGAAGGTGGAGGGGTTTAGAGAATAGAAAGCAAAGGAAAATCTGCCTCCACTTTAGAGGAAGGCAGGTTGGAAGTTTGCCTAGAGTTGAAAACACCTTTGGGTCTTACGCCTACTCTCTAAACAAGTTTGGTCAATGCTTATGCAACTGTATTGCCACACAGAGCCCATAAGAGGGCCTACCCTGGAGGGAAGCCACTGCTGTATCACTCATTCCCAGCAAGGTCAGGGCCACATTCTTCAGCCTAAATATTCCTTCTCTTTGGAGCTTTCCTTTAGTCTGTCAGCTCTACATAGCCAACGTATGTGAAGGGGGCAGTAGGTAGCAACAATGAAGGCATCCTGTCTGAGAGGTTGGATTTTGCTCTGAACTTTTTCATATTGTTACGATCATCATTATAATTAATTTCTTGGTTTCATTTCAGATGAAAAAGCTGAGCTGCATTCCAACACAGGAAGAGTTTTACATCAGTTTATGCAGTTCCATCTGTATTTATTGCTATTATTAAATATACACCTGTCAAATTATCAGAGGTTAAGAAGAAGTGTTTCATTAATCATTGAACAGGAGTTGTTATGACTCACATGATATTCTCATGGAACAATTTTGTGGAGAAAGCGGTTTAAAATGCAAAGTAAGATTTTGTTAAGTCTTCTGCTTAAAGAATATATTAATTAATTGAGATTTCTTTCAAATAGATTGGGAACCATTTATTATTTGGTTTGTATTTTTCTAGATCAAATATTAACAGACAATTGGGTTTCACAAATCAGTGCCATATCAAAAAAAAAAACTGTTTTAATTAAAGTGGGGGAACCAAAGAGAGTAATCAATTTTTCCAAGGAAGGACATAAGAAATATCAATTATCACCTTTACTGTCATTCTATACAAAAAATGTTTTAGGACTAAAGAAAGAAAAAGGATAGAATCTCATAGTATAAAACATTCCTTTCCACGGAATAAATTTAGTATTATGAAAATGTCAATATATGTCTCTATTTCTTATCATCATACCATGGTGACACAGCAACAAAATTTGTGAGCTCTGAGTGGTAATGAAGGTGGGAATAAGAAGGGAGCAGGACTGGCCAGCACGTCCTTTGCAAGTATCTTTTGCCTCTTTTTCAACAGCTCCTTTGCATAGATCTAGCTGTAATTATGAGTCAGCCTGTACTTTTCCCATATATATCAACTTTAAATTGCAGCTGGATTATAATTTATCACTGGCTCCCCCTCCAGACCTCCATGCTTTTTTCATGTTTTCCCTCCCTATGAGTCTATGCTTCTCTTTCATACACAACTGGGATGAGCTAAGGAAGAGGCAGAACCACCTCCCTGTGCCCCACCTGGGTCATAGTCTTTTGTTGTGTTTGTTTTGGTGGTGGTGGTGGTGACGGTGGTGCTGGGGATCAAACTCTGGGCCTTGCACATGCTAGGCAAGCATCTTATCATTAAGGTATGCCCACAACCTCCACCCCCAATTTTTTTTAAATCAATATTACAGTAGCTAAATGTGCCACTGTGCAGGACAGCAAAAAAGAGAGAGAGCACAGTGAGGGAAGGAGGGAAAGACAGAAGGAGGGAGAGGCAGAGAGACAGACAGAGACAGAGAGCTAAAGACTGTGGCTTACAGTTTGCTCTGTCTTCTTGGAGGTCCCAGCAAAATTTTCTTGTGGGGAAGCCTCAAGACTATACCTCTTCAATTGAGACTTTTCAAAGTAGAATTTGGAAGCCCTGTAAAATGCTTCAACGATAAAGAAAGAATGATTGTGAAGATCTGAATATTTACGTGACTTAGTAGGAGCACGGGGATTAAAGAAAAAACAGATCTCAGGTAATGACAGGTTAGGGAAAAGGAAACAGAAAAATTTGCATATCAACATAGGCTTAGAATCAGGAAAACTGAATTCCAGTCTTGGCTGGTTTGTCTTGTGTAAGTCCTTTTCCTCTCCTGGGCCTTTGGAAAAGGAAGTGGTTGAGGTAGGAGAAACTTAGAGGACACATGAGCTTGACGTTCTAAGATTTTCAAAAGATTCCCAAATAGTTTGGTGAAATGCAGGAAGGAGTTGGCAAGAAAGACTGAAAATGTAATACCTTTGCCCCACCTAGCAGAATTATGAATCAGCTTTGTTCTAGGACATATAACAATCCTGGAGAATTACAGGTCATCAGTAAAGAGTTTCTTCACCCATATAAAATACAATGACCTTGCCCATAGGCACAAGCAAGAATATTAACTAGTTTAAATAGAGCAAGGCAATATCATAAAGGGTCATTGCACTTCATTTTTGCCTTTCAACTTAGAATAGGCAGAACATGCATCAAAACTCCATCTATTGTTAACTATGTCTGTTGTTAAAATCAAAAGTCCTCCTGCCTTGGAAGTACATAAATTCCAGAGCTCAAAACAGGACCCCAATCATCTTTGTCCATTTTTTTTCTTTTTTTTTTCAGCCTACTATTAGATACCTGAAATCCCAACATTCGTGCTTCTGATTTTGACCTTAGGACTATAAGCCCCAATAAAGAACTAGCAAAGCCAGTGAACCCTTTCTCAATCTTTCTACTAATAAGGACACTTTTCATTATTCTTTTTTTTTTTCCTTTTTGAGCTTCATTTTTTCTTTCTTTCTTCCCCCCCCCCCCCCCGTGGTGCTGAGAATCAAACACAAGACTTTGCACATGGTAGGCAAGTGCTCTGTCACTGAGCTATACCTCCAGTGACCCCATTTTTTTTTTTTTTTATAGAACTGATCCCTCAAAGTTCAGGGTAATCATAAGGAACTAAATCCAAGAACAGTTAGTTAGACCGTGCAGAGGATTTTTACCTGCATTACTTGCCTATAAACAATCCTTTGAAGTAGTCATGATTGTATCAATTTTAAAAATGAGAAAGACTGGGCTCAGAATGCTTAACTAACAAAAAGAGAGTGACTAAGATGGGAATCACACCCAAGCCAATCTAAAGCCTGGGCGCTGGAATAGGGGAGAGGCTATCACAAAAGGAGCAAAGGTTGCATAATAAAGAAAACCCCACCTTCCTCCTAATATGTGGAGAGTGATGTCAGCATCAATTCTACTTTTAATGACCTGTACAGAACTTATTTAAGTAAAAGGAATTTACAGTAATCTTGGTTGGAGAGTCTTCAGGAAATGTTACAACACTCTTTGAGACAGTTTCCCATGTCTGGCAGTGCTGAACTGCCGCCTTAAATATTTGCTTGTCTTCCTTGTGATAATTATCACCAAGTATTATTGTGTCAAAGAGTTTGCAGAGATAATTTCTTATCCTTGCAACAATCCTAAAAGGTGGGTGTTGCTAGCTCCATTTTACAGGTGAAGAAAATAAGATTAGAGAAACAGAATGAAATGACTTGCTCAAAGTCAAGCAGGTAGTCTGAGGCAGAGCTGGGAGTCAAACCCAGGGCAGTCTGATCCCATAGTCTATGCTTGTTCTTATATACTATATGGTCCTGGGCAAGAAGGTAGGTAGTTAAGTCAGTGAGCACATCTTACTCTTTTGGGAACTAGAGCAGAAATATTTATCACTCAACTAATATTTTTGTGTTCTTCATATTTTCCTGTTCTTTGCCATTCAGTTGTCCATGTGACTAGTTTTATTTAAGGGGCTGTGGATAGAATTAATGGTGTCATTTCTAGGATAAAAAAGATGTGATCTTTTTATGCAATGGAGTACTACTCAGCCATAAAGAAGGATTAATTAGAGACTTTTATAGGTAAATGGATGCAACTTGAGACCACAGTCATAAATGAAATAAACCAGACTCATATGCAAACATCATACTGTTTCCCTAATGTGAGAAGCTGAAAGAGTAAATAAGATCTGGAATGTATAATAGATATTGTAAAATGGGAAGAAACTGTTCAAAAGGAAAGAGAAACTGGGATGGGGAAAAGGAGAAAAGAAGGAAAGGAAAAGCAAAGGAAAAAAATATATATACAAGATAGTTAAGACAGTTATGCTACTAATTTCTTTTAGTTCATTGAAAAGATAGGTTTGTGCTAATATTGTCTGGACAATTAAATGCCTATATCTTATACTCTGAGTAACTAATTTAAAGATAACCATATGCAATGTATTAACCATTATTACTCTCCTATTATCTTGTTTTGAAATTTTATTTTTTTGTTTGCTCTTTAAAATAAAATTTTAAAAATTGAGTTCTCATAGATTTGAAGCTCTTACTAGATCTGGAGTTCCTCAAGTGTTGCTGTGGAAACTCATTGTTTATTTGTCCTCATTTCTTCTGACACTCTTGATAGCAACAATAGTGTTACTAATTTAAACAAATTAGTAACAACATCTTCTATTTTCACATTAACGAATAGTTTATAAAACATTTTACACATATCTTTTTGGCCCACACAGCCACTCTTGAGATAGTGCTCTCATTATTCATGATTTACAATGGGAGATGCTAAAGTTCAGAGAAGTTAAGTGATTTGTCCAAGGTCACACAGCCAGGAAGAAGCACCACTCCTCCCATCACTCTGCCTTTTGGCCCTATAACTACTGAGAGCACTCAGTTTTACAGGAAAATTATTTAGCACTTTTGCTGTATAGGCGATTGCTGTGCAATGGGAAGAATGAGACAGGAGATGAGAAATCAAACTGTCACACACAGAAACACCAATTGCTTCCATTAGGCATCGCCAGAAATCATCAAAATGGAGTTCTCTGAGTTACCTGAATATAGTAATGTCACAATAAAGTAGTTATCCTCCTGTAAGGGTTTATATTGTGTTGTCTTCAGGATTTAACTATACCTTATTTAATCTTCATAACAATCACAGAACAAAAGTGCTACTTTTATCATGATCATTTTATAGGGGACAGAACTGAGGCACAGAGGATTTAAGTCATGTGAACTGGGACGCAGAGCATATTAGTGGCTGAACTAGGGTTTGGGATCAGGAAATATGGCTTTTGGGTCCTCTTACATCAAGAATGAACTGTTTTTTGTCTTTTTGAGACAGGGTCTTGCTACGTAGTTCAGGCTGGCCTTGAGCTCACTATGTAGCTCAGGCTGGTCTCGAACTCACAGTGATCCTCCTGCCTCAGCCTCCTAAGTGCTGGGATTACAGGCATGTGCCACCATACCTATTTAAGAATGAACATTTATAAGGTATTTTCTATATGTTAGAGCATACATATATTGATTAAATTAACCGCCACTTTTGACATATTTAACATTTTTATCCAAATAGCAGATATAGAGAGACAGGGAGGGAATAGCGGAAAAAGAAAGAGAGAGACAGGAGATCAGAGAAAGAGAACAATTTACAGTGCCATGATGAGACCTGCTGTCTTACTTGATACAAGCCCTGAAGTGAACAGGAAGTGCGGAAGTGGGAAGGTTAGCTCCCCTTGCCAGCCCTATTTCCCTCATGGCTCGCTAAGGGTAACTCATGAGCTAAGGATCACTCTAGTGATTGAGAATTTGCATTTTTGTGGTTGCTGAGGATGTGGCTCATGGTAAGAAGTTTGCTTGGTAGGTATGAGACCCTGTGCTTAATCT